GGTGAGGAAGTTAAGAAAGTTGAAAGATAGAATGGACTGTTCTAAACTTGGGGATAAATTTATAAATCATAGGGTAACCTCAAAGAAAAATTATAAAACCTTATGGGAGCCCACCAGACAAAGCATTAGAGTTGTATCCACTGGTTACAGGAGACCGGCCTTGTCCTGCTGGGCTGGGCAGGGCCTACAGTAGCAGCTGAATCCCAACTTTGTACATTCCCAGGTGCAGGGGGCAGGTTGGGGGAGCACTGAGAAGTGGCTGTAGGGACTAGGTATGCCAGTGCCAGGAGCAAGTGTGGCCCTGGCTGCTGCCGCCTTATTGGTGTGGCTGCTTCCTGGTATGTGCAGCTGCTGCCGCTGCCATCCTGAGCTGGAAGCCGAGGAGCACCCTAGGCCCAGCCGGCCCATCCAACGCACCTGCAGCAGGGGCAGAGGAGCCTCAGCAGGCGCCTCGCTGTGCTGGAAGTGAAAGGCTACAAGGCTGCTGCACCAGTGAAAGAAGCCAGGGCGAGGGGAAAGAGGAGGGAAAAGAGGAGGTGGAAGGAATTAGGGTGTGCCCTGGGGGTTCTTCTGCTCATTCAATGTGGGCATTGGGTCTTGAAAATATTAGGGGGAAGTAATAAACAAAAGGAGAGCTGCTTTCTCTTTCCTTTGAAAAACCACCTTATGAGACCAGGGACATATACGTTGTCAAACATTGCCCGCAGCCACATTAGGTGATGCATACCTATGCATTCCTCTTACATGCAGAGGTGACAACACAGAAACAGTAAGTGCCCTGACTCAGACCCCTGTTTTCAGTAAAAAGATGGAAGTAAGTGAGTGACTATGAGGATAATTGTTCAGATACTTAAAATATATTATAGATTAAAGATACAAACACAAATAAGTCCTTTTGAATCATACGTCATGTGATTTAAAGAATTTTAACGTAAATTTATTTTTCATTTCTTTCCTTTTGTTAATCATTAGCATTTCAAAAAGACAAAAAGCATGTTCTACCAGAATGTTTGGATCTATTTTAGGGGGAAAAAAATCTCAGCCTAGCATGGCCTTATTAAACATATGGAAATATTTGTCAGACTACTTTGAAAATAAACTGATTTCTAAATATAAATACATGCAGTTTTCATGATCATCAAACTCATTTGAAGCATTTATCTTACTTTGTATCCACATGTACATTTTTTAAGAACTTTTAACTGAGTCTTTTTTTGCCTTAACTTACCATAAAAATAAAAACAACTCACTGCCTTCAATTCACATCCGACTCATAGCGACCCCTCCGTGGGTTTCTGAGGCAGTATCACTATGGAAGTAGATTGTCCCATCCTCCCTCCGAGGAGTAACTGGTGGGTTTGAACTTCCAGCCTTCTGGTTAGCAGTCAAATGCCTTAGGCACTACACTACCAGAGTAAAATAAGAAATATTATGCACTAACTGACAAATCAATGGTTACTTAAAAAAAAAATTCAAAGAAAAGATATTTTGTTTTACAAGTAAAGGCTTCACCCTAAAAAATTTGTCTGTGGTTTTTTTCTTTAACATTGCCATATTTGCTGTGGCAAATCACTTTATTTACAAGTCACTTTAGAAGGGAATCAATCTACTTCCCTAGTGATACCACCTCGGAAACCGAAGAAAGGGTCACTATGAGTCAGCTCCAATTCCACAGCAGTGAGTTTGGCTTTTTTGGTTAAGCACAACATTGTTATTAGAAATCAGGATGACAGTTCCCATGGTGAGGGTAATGACAGAAGGTGATCACAGAGGACATCTGGGTGCTTGTGATGCTCTGTGTCTCTTGGTACTGGTTACACTGGTGTGTTCAAGCCAAGTGGCACAATGATGTGAATATTTCTGTATGTATATTACATCACAAAATGGAGTCTGTGGAACTTGCCCAATACAAGTTATAAACATTTCTTAGTTGCATTGTGTACATGGAGTCCTTGTCTAGTAAAAGTGGTTAAGAGCTCAGCTGCTAATTGAAAAGTTGGAGGTCCCAGTGTACCCAGAGGCACATCAGAAGAAAGGCCTGGTAATCCACTT